CTTACACAGCCCTGCACACCGTGTTCCAGCACCCGCCCGCCAGGCCAGCGTGGCCGGCACACTGACCCGGGGGACGGAGAGAGCGAGGGCCCTGAGGAAGGGCACACCTGCGTCCTCGCTCCACCAAGTGCCCCGCGGGATCAATAAAAGGGGGTCATGCCCGGCCGGCAGGGCTCAGTGGTTGAGCATCGACCTATGCACCAGGAGGTCACGATTCGATTCCCCGTCAGGACACATGCCCAGGTTGTGGGCTCAATACCCAGTAGGGGGCGTGCAGGAGGCAGCCGATCCATGGTTCTCACTCATCATTGATGTTTCTATCTCTCTCCTCCCTTCCTCTCTGAAACCAATAGAATATATTTTTTTTAAAAAGAAAGAAAAATATCCCTGGGTGAGAATTAAAAAAAAAAAGTGGAAACCGTTTCCACTGCTGGCTCTTCTGACCGATAAGCAATACGGACGCCTCTGAAAAACAAGCTTCCCCAAGGGAGCGCGCGGCACAGCGGGACCTTCTCCTCGTTTTCATGAATCTGTAAATAGCGTCTTCTCACCCACAGAACCATCCTAGCCACATGGTGCCCGTAGCCGGGGTTTGCTCCCACGTAGCCACACGCTGGGGCGGGCGTCCCTGTCACACTGCGGAGCGCCACTCGGTGTGACGAAGCTGAGAGGTCCGTGCAGAGCCCCACGACGGGCCGGTGCCTAGCCCGGTCTGCCTGCCCAGCCCCCTACTGGGGCCACCAGGAAGCGTGTCCCTGACACATCGGTGGCCGGCGAGGACCCCTCGGTCAGTCAGTTCCCAGAAGAATAACCCTGAACCCCGAGTGTTCAGCGTCTCACGTCCCCGCTGCCCGCACCCTGGGATGACGGTTCCAGTCCCACAGACTCTGCCCGAGGGATCTCCTGCTCTTGTCCAGCAGGCCGGGACTTAATAAGCCCCTTCTCCCCCAAGGAAAACATCATTTGCGTTAAAAAAATCTAATTCGCAGGTAAAGACCACAGACATTCATTCACTTGAGTCACAGATTTTTTGTGAGTCACAGGGGCCCTGACCTTCACGGTGGGGTCCGCATCTTCTGAGAAACAGAACAGAATTAATCACTGTTTAGTGCTCCAGAGCCGCTACCCAGGGACCCTCTGCAGCCAGCACCGGCGGCTGGGCAGGCAGATCAAGAACACCAGTGTCCTCGGGCTGTCCTCGTCCAGAAAGTCCTGCTGGGCGGTGCTGGGCTCGAAACCGAAACCAGGATGACCCGAACTGCGAAAGCTCGGCACTTCCTTCCTCTGGTGGATGTGTGCCCCTTGCCTCACACCCTGTGCTTGGTCCCCATAGCAACCGCAGAGTGGCGGGAAATGTCACCAACAGGTAACTCACCTGGGGATCGCACTGGACCCTCCAATCCCCTGTCACTGTCATCAACAAAACAAACACCATCTCATCTGAGAAATACACAAACCCCAAAGGTAGGACCCGACACCATCCTACGATTAAGCTGGATGGTTCTCACACCTCTAGGCTCACCAGAGGACTATCCGAGGCACAGAGAAATGGTGGAGTTTAAAAAAGCAAAATTAAAAGTTATTAAACAGCCTTGGGCATTCAAAATAGAATAGCTCTAAAAAATCGAACGCAGTAAGCCCGGCCGGCGGGGCTCAGTGGTTGAGTGTCTACCTATGAACCAGGAGGTCACAGCTCGATTCCCCCCGGTCAGGGCACAGGCCCAGGTTGTGGGCTCAACCCCCAGTGTGGGGCGTGCAGAAGGCAGCCATTCCATCATCCTCTCTCATCATTGTTGTTTCTATCTTTCTCTCTCCCTCTCCCTTCCTCTCTAAAACCAATAAAAATATATTTAAAAATAATAAATAAATAAGTAAATAAGTAAAATGTTTGCTTCATTTTAACATTCATGTGAGTCACACAAGCAGGGCCGCTCCAGGAAGTGTAACGCGTGTCTTCACGCTCGCTTTTTCCTGCTCCTTCTTCTACCGTCCCCCCGCCCTCCTCCAAACCCCGAATCAATGGGATCAATGGGATCGCAGTGCAGAACAGAGGGCAGGAGGTGGAAGACAGCAGCGGGCCCCAGACCTGGCAGGATGCCGCAGCCTGTTTGGTTCAGGAAGTAGCGCTGTCATAGTTCAGTTCACTCATCCTGCTCCCAAAACAGCTCACATCGAGGCGGCTGACCGGTGTGTGGCAACCGCGCCAGAAGCACGGGCGGAGGCTGCCGGCAGACCAGGCTGCAACCCGGCCATTTCCTATCAGAAGAAAAAGGAGGAACGGCCACTTGGCAAATGAGAGGCAGGGAGACAGCTCAACCAGCCCAGAGAGGGTCAGAGGAGACCACCGAAAGGGGGACACAGCCCTGGCTGGTGTGGCTCAGTGGATAGAGTGTTGGCCTGCGGACGGAAGGGTCCCAGGTTCAATTCCGGGTCAGGGCACATGCCCGGGTTGGGTCCTCAGTGTGGGGCGTCCAGGAGGCGGCCATCAATGATTCTTTCTCGTCATTGATGTTTCTATCTCTCTCCTCCTCCCTTCCTCTCTGAAATCAATAAAAAAATATTTTTTAAAAAAGGGGACACAGACATTTGGGGTCCGAGGAGTCAAAGTGTGGGTGGGCGATGGCCAAGGGGCAGAGACCAGGGAAGCACGGGCAGATGTAAATGCGGTGGATTTCAGGAACACTGAGCTTCTCTCGATGTGATGCACTGGCCGGCGTAACTGGGGGGTAGAGTAGGGTCCCTGAACACACGGCATCGCCTCTAACCAGAAAAAAAAGAAAGAGGGCCGCAGGCCCATGCAGAAGAGCCGCCCCAGGAACAAGAAAAAGTGCGAGCACAGGGAAAACAGGAGAAGGAGAAAGTCCGAAGCTGCTGCTCCCAGGGGCGGGGGGACCGGCGTCTGTGCCTTGGGCCGAGCCGGTGGAGAGAAGGGAAAACAGCTGGTTTCACCGGAGCCCAGGCTCCTGGAGAGCGCGGGACGGACGCCAGGCGCTCCTCCCAGGAACCTCTGGAACGACTCCAGCG